CTTGCTGCCGCTGAAAGCCACCAGGGGAAACTCAGGCTCATAGAACATCATCATGTCTTCATCCACCTGTCTCACTGCATCTGTCTCCATGCAACTTCTGACTCTTCCACAAAGCCAAAATGACCATGAAAGGCAAACACTGTGAAGTGATTCAGGACATCACAGAACAACTGAGACACTCATGAAAGATTTGCAGAACTGCTTCAGAAAGTGGCAAGAGGGTGGGATAAATCTGTTTGAAGCGAGGTGAAGTATTCTAAAGGAGATTGATGGAAATATATCTTTTATTATAAAATTTTAAAAATTAAAACATTCACTGTACATTTTGATCACATCTCAAATAAGGTTGCCACCCACTCCTTGTGTCCTGCCATGGCACCAAGACAGATGAGGTGATCTGAGGGAGAATCTGAGAAGGGCAGCTGGGCACCTGAAAAGTCAGAGTGAGTCACACATTTCCTAAGTTGTATGGTAACAGGCTAGCTTTGCTTCTCTGGGCATGCCAAAGTAGCAGTTTAAAACACTTAGACAGGCTTTTGTCACTTGGTTTAACTGTGTACATTGCAAATCCTTTAATTGGTTTCATGTCTGGAATGAGGGACTGAAATGGAAGTGTGACTCTCGGGAGAGCTGTCCTGGCGCTCAGATGACTTGTCATGTTTCTTTTTTGATCTGCTGTTCTCTTCCTTAAGGTAATGGAGTTAATCTAATTATCTTTTGAAGACAAGCTCCTGCTGCACTATGCCAATTTGGGCTGTTCTCAGAATGTAGCCCAGGAGTGGGTGGAGAGAAGTGCAGTGGGGATCTGAGGACGTGGGGTGTACCCAAGCCCTTCCTTGCATGGAAGGCATGGTTTCCCCACAAGTCTTGAGAGCAGAGTAAATGGCTGTTGGCAGTGGAAGATGGGATTCACGCGACATCCTGGGCTTTGTCTTTACACCAGTCCTTGCCTCTTTTGAGCCTAGTTCTCACACTTGCAAAATGAAATTAATTCTGTTGTGTAGTTGCACTGAGGGCTGAGTGAGACCGTGTGCGTAGGGCCCTTACACACTGAGCTTGGCGTGTCATGGGTACCCAAGAACTAACACTCATTATTTCAGGGCTAAGTGGAGTTAATCCTTTCAAGGGCCAACCCAACCTTAACTTGGGTTGAGAAGGCCCTGAATAGGGATCACTCACCCTGTGTTGTTGATCACAAGTTGAGGAATTATTTTAAAACTCTCCTGTGCACACAGCAGGTTCTGGAAGGTGTCTCTTCCCCAGATGGCGGCAATTAATCTTGCAATAGGTCCTGATGGGAGCAGCCACTTGGGGCTTCTTGGGCTGTGCAGGGCTTCGCTAGCTGCAATTGGGAACAGTAGCCTGGGAGTGCTCTGAGCCTGAACCGCATCAGCTCTTTCTTCCAAAGAGCTGGGTGCCATGCAACTTGTGCTTCTTCTCCTTTCTATTCTCCAAAAGAGTCTATGATAAATCTCTGGTCATAGTAAAAACTGTATATTCAGAGGAATTATCTTCTATTTACCTATCACTTATCAATATCTATCTATATCATTCAGCTATCGTCTATCAATATCTAGCTAGTTACTTCTGTTTTTAGGTAGCCTTTTAAATCTGTACTAGTGTTAATTGTATGGAACAACAGGTTTCTTTGTGGCCTGTTCACACACACATACTATACTCTGATGCTGTCTGCCTCATTACTTTTCCTTACTCTCCTCCTCTTGTCCTTATCCCTTCCTCTTCCCTAATTATCACCCTTTTACTCCCATGTCCTCTACCCACCCCCAGGGACCACATATGACAGAAAATATGTGATATCTGTCATTTTGAACCTGGCTTGTTTCCCGTAACATGATGGTCTCTACTCCTAACCATTTTCCTGCCAATGACACAGTCTGGTTCTTTTTTATGATGGAGTAGCGCTCCATTGTTCCACGGTTGCTTTTATTCACTCATCCATGCACAGGCATGTAGGCGGATCCCACAGTGTGGTTACTGCCAATGGATAAACTTGGGCGTGCAGATGTCCTTAGAGTATGCTTACTTTAAATCCTTTGACTACACATGGAGGAGGGTATGGCTGGATCATATGATAGTTCTTTACTGTTTTTTTGAGGAAACTAAACACTGATTTTCCTATTAGCCCTGCTATTTACATTCCTGCCAACAGTGCATAAGTGCTCCCTTTTCAGCACATCATTGATTGTTTTCAGTATTTTCTCATGCTATATATTCTGATTGGGGTATGATGTAGTTTTAACTCACATCTGACGGCTAAAGATGTTAAAACTTTTTTTCACATAATTATTAGCCATTGGTACTTCTTTTGAGAAGTGTCTGTTCAATATATTTGCCCACTTATTGATTGGGTTATTCACTTTTTTGGTGAATAACTCAAGTTTATTGAATTCTTTATGTATTCTGGATTTTAATCCTTTTTTTAGATGAGAAGCTGGCTAAGACTTTCTCATGTTCTGTAAGGTCTCTTCACTCTGCTAATGGTTTCCTGTGCTATGCAGAACTTTCTGATTTGACTTTACTCCATTTATTTATTTTTGTTATTATTTCCTGAAGTACTTGAGTTCTATTCAAGAAGCCACTGCCTGTGCCTCTAAGAAAGTTTTAGGTCTTACTATCTTACTTATCTGTTATCTACCAATATCAATTATCTATGCACCTATCTTCCCTCTATTGCCTAATATCTATTTGTATTATCCTGTTACTATCTATTTATCAATCATTTATAGATATCTTCTATGTCCACTGATATCTACACCCTCCTTCCCTATCTGTATCTACAATATCTATACTCTCCTTACTTGTACAGAAACAGGAATACTTTCCACTGTCCTTTACCTTGCTTTTCCACTTAACAGAGTCTACGGGCCACTTTGTTTCGGTGGATGTGCATGAAGCTTTTCTATAACAGTTACTTAATATTCCATCCCCTTTGCCCATTGTAGGTTCTTCCCTCAGTTCACATTCAATGGGCTTTCAGATTGTTTCAGGTCCTCATAGTTTACATACAGATTATCTTGTGATGGAAATATATTGCTATTACAAATTATCTTATGATAGAAATAATTTTCATAGATCTTAGCACACTGCCGAAAAATGCAGCGCAAATTCTTTATGGTGAAATTATTGGCTCACAGGAGATGTGTACATTTAGTGATGACCCATATTTTCCACAGCTTTCTAAAACAAATGTCCCTGTTTACATGTCCACCAAAGCACTGCCCACTGGAAGCACTCTCAGGCCAAACACGCACCTTAGCACTTAAACACAATGCATTCTTTGTCTGTCAGCCTGCACGGGCGAAATCTTGATGAGGATAAAACTCTCAATACAGTTGGCACTGTCAGTTTATGTGACTTTTATAACTATTCCTGCTCATATCTTTCACATCTCTGTGTTTTCATTTATGTTTTGTGTGTATCACCAAACACAAGCAGTCTTGTATCTGTCACAGTTTTTATTTACTTTCTTGGCATTTTTCTCAGAGTTCTATTAGATATTTCTGGTCCTGCTTCTACAGTTTCTGTTACCTATATCCTAGGGACTTGGTGGCATTCAGAAAATGGTTAGAATATAAACTGATGACACTGAGGGAGGACCTGATAGTCCTGAGGGTGCTCACAATGGCTGCTCCCTCATTTCTGCCCAAAGATTCTGGCGGTGTCCTGCCCCCTCCCATTTCCACTTGTGCTGACAAGCAGAGGTTCGTTTTTCTGAGTAAACTTGGGGACTGAGTAAACCTGGGAAGCTCAGAGTGAGCTGCAGGGACCCAAGCTTTTGTTATACTTCTAAAACACAAGGTCCAGGTCCAAATGCTTACTTTTTTATTCTGTAGCACTAGACCAAAATCATTCTCAGCCCCACCATATGAAAGCAGGGCCAGAAGACAGGACAGCAGGGAGGTCCACTTGAATGGTAAATCACCAAGATGACCAAAAGGGGGAGAAAAAAAAGCGCAGGTGTGGTGGTGCACATCTGTAATCCCAATACCAGGGAGTCTGAGGGAGGAGGATTATCTTGCCTATCAAAGGCAGCCTGCGCTACACAATTTCAAGGCCACCTGGAATAACTCTCAAGACCCTGTCTCAAAAAGCAAAACAAACAAAAATAGTAAAAATAAAAAAGCCAAATGAAATAATAGGCTTCCACCTTACACAGAGTAAGCAAAGTCTTCCTGCTGTTCTATGGACTGTAAGTTGGGTCCTGTGGCAAACAACAGTAGTAAAATTAATTATGTACTATGATTTGTGTTTTAATACTTTTCCTCAGATAGTCTTGGTGGGGATAAGGATGTCAGGGGTGAGCACTTTCCCAGGGAAATGGGAGGAACATTTTAGAAGGCCTTTCCATGATTCCAATTCAGAAGGATAAAATCTGACCTAATGTGACCCTAAGTGATGTCATCTGGCCAGGCACTGGGTTAGATAATAGAAATAGGAAAAATGACCCCATTCTGTGACTTTATCTTTTATCAAAATACTATTTGTAAGTCTATATAAGACATTTGATCCAAATATGATGGTAACTGGAGAATCCACCAACTGTATCTTCGGATGATAAAATGCACTTTAGGACAGAAATAAATGTCAAGACGTGGCCCTTCCAGTACGCTGAGGACTCATAAGTGAAACGCTGGATTGAGTCTGAAATTGGCTGCTGACCAGGGAGATTGTCCCCCACCCAGGAGACTCCTGGCATTTTTGAGGAAGGAAACTACCCACAGATCCTGCTAAACACTGACGATGTCTAGGACCTGAAAAACCCACACTGCCACCAATAAATAATTATCTGACCCCAAATGCCAACATTGCCAAGTTTGGGATATCAAAGGCTAGAAGCCTCTGTGTCAGCTACACTCATCTTTGTGATCTGCTGTCCCACATCTTATCTCGTCTTTGACTTTCAAGAGTCTATGGATTTACAGACTTCAAGATTGTTTTCCGAGAAATCAAGATAAAAGAAAAAGACATGACAATAATCATTTTGATTTTTTTAAAAAAAGAAAACAGTTTATTAGGATATTCTGGGTAGAGGTGGCCAAAGGGACTACATACACTCTGTAGTGCTTGAGCAACAAGCTAACAGAAAATTCAAACATCACAAAACCACTGCCAAAGTCCAGATAGCAAAACTTGTTCTTCTACACGTAGATGTTCTTCCATGGATGTTGGCAAGAAAGCACATTGCAAACAGCTGTGTGAGGAAGAGGTGTGGGAATAACCCTGGGAAAACATACGAGCGTCCTTGGGAAACCAAATACACAGACATGAGAAAAAGTATCCTCTGCAGAAGACTCCAGAACACAATCTAGCATGGAGATCCGAGGAAAGATACCTCTTCTGATGGAGGCTCCTCAGCGAAGTTCACTTTGCCGTCTGCTGCACCTCTGAATTACTTGGTGTCTGCACCTCTTGCCTAGGGCAGAATTCTAAAAATATCCCCCAATCAAAAGCCTTCTTCTATTTCACCTTTCTTCTATTTAACCTCATGAAATAGGAAGCACGGCAGCTGGGACATACCCTCAGGTGAAGAGTAAAAAATGCAAAACAATCCAGAAGTACAAGAAAAAAAATCTTCCATCCTAAATCTCACACAGCTTCTCAGTGGGAGTTGGATTAAACAGAGAAAATAATTTCAATATCAAGAGATAATATACACAAGTTTGGAAAACTCTTTCAAGCAGGCTCCATGGTGAGAAGTGTTTCCCCACTCCCTTGGGTGCGGGAAGGGGGAAGAAGAGAAAAGAGATAATTAGGAGAACTGTAAGGCCCTGGATTTCAGGTTTCTGCAACTATTTCTTCAATCCTCTGAGGACAATCAGCTATTTCTGATTCTAAAAAAGCACATCAGAAGTGCCTTATTACAGGAAGACCACAGCCAAATAAGACAGGGAAGTCTATGATCTGGTTCTGGGATTTTTATTCTCTTTTTCTCCTCCTACATTTTAGAAACGCCTTCAGCTAAAGTAGAGTAAAAGCCAGAATTCTGGATCAAGCACATTTTCACACCAGGAAGATAATGCTGGATCACACAGCCCTGTGGAAGGGAGTGGGGGAGAGAACATGGAAGGGAGAAAGGAAGAAAGGGAAGGAGGGAGGGAGGAGAAAAAGGGAGGATGGAAAAAAGGAAAGAAGTGAGGAGAAAAGGAAGGAAGGGAGAAAGACAGGAGAGAGGAAGTGGGGCTTTGAGGCATATATGCTAGTGTGCTGGAAGGCCCAGTACTTTCACCCAACCCTGCAATAGTGACCTTGACCTGATCCCTGGGACCAAACTGTATTGACTTCTAAAGGCCTTGAAGTTTATATACTGGGCCATGCACTAGATTTTATAATTCTTTATCCTGCCTCATTCTAATACTCTAATCTCTTCTTTGCTATGTCTGGTGGGCATCGGGGGTCACTGCACATTCCAAAATCTGCTCTTTTGAATGAACCCTTCTGATGTACACATGCTCCCCTCAGCTACAGCAGTTTCAGTGCCTGTCTCAACTGCACCATGGCTGCTACCCGGTGCCAGAATAGTTCTACAGGTTCTCCTACAAGGTCAAGGTCACAGCGCTTGAAGGTCCTGCGGAGTAATGCCTGTGTTCCTCACCTGGATTGCTGTAGTGGATGCTTAGGATCAAGCTAAGAAAAGTGGGTTCTCCATAAGTGGGATAACTGGGTTTGCTCTTGTACTCATTAGGACTGGAACTTAACTCCAGACCTTCTGACCTCCAGGTCAGAAAACAGGTTCATAGACATTTTATATAAAAAAAGATGCCAAACTGGAAGATTTTGCCAATCTACAAAGGTGTTTCTCAATTTGGGGGAAACTGGTGTCAGAGGTCTCCAGTCTTACATTACTTACAGGAAAACTTCAGCTCTAAATGTTGGATAACACAGCCAGAGTACTTGTGCAACATACGTACTGAATTGATCAGCACTTGACTTTGTTCTCAGGACACTAATGGAAAGATTGTCATTCCTGGGAGTGATTTGGGACTGGTAAAGTGGTCCAGTTTTCCTGCCTATGTCTTGTGCCTGAGGTAGATTAAATCTTTACAGACTCACTGGTCTGGCAAATGTGGAGAGCTGCTGGGATGGGCTGGTCGTGCTCAGGTCCTCAGGGGCAAGTGCTAGCTTTTTATCTCAGCAGGAAACACACTGAGCAGATTTAAAGTTGCTGTGATCTGAACACTCCTTAGACCTTTTTCTGAGCTCACCTCCCATATCTCAGGAGGACAAAATCAGTGTCAACAAAGCTCAATGACAGCACAACTACACACATGGGCCAGGTTTCATCACTGAGTGACAGAATGAAGCCTTTTGATGTGCCAATTTTTTTTTCAGGCAACTAGCATTTTTCAAATGCCTGCTACAGTCATGCTGTCTGCTAGAGAAGGCTGGTGAACAGGAAATGTCAGAACTGAGAAGGAAACCGACGATGTCTGGGCAGCCTCCTGGCATCCTCCACAACACAAAAATGGGGACTGGTAGGACACCTCAGCCTTTAAGGAATAGAAGGAAATCAGAGAAAATTTCCACTGATGTGGGTGCTGGGCTTCACAACTTCTCAACAAGCAAAAATAAACTCCCAATGGCAATGGGACAAGACGCTGATATTGGCATCTGCCAGAGGCAAACAGCCGAAGTCGCAGCTGTGCTGGTCAAATGAGCTTGGAGACCTTAGGGGGCTGAGGCCTCAATGACTATTAACAGGCTGTGGTGCAGTCGGCTTACTGAAATCGGGTTTCTCTGCTTTTCTCAACTCTCTGGGCTGCATCTCAGAGCCATCAGAAGCGCAGGTGGCTCATTCCACTGGGCAATGATCCCAAGCTGCCTCTAGGAAGAGGACAGGCTCATCTGAGAACACAGGGAGCAACAAAGAGATTCCGGGGGAGGATGCAGTAGGCTGAGCAGCTGAATGCGAGGAAGGAAGAGCTCAGGGGAGAGGTCGGGGGGACTTCTGCCTTGAGTATTACTGGATCTAAATCCTCTGTCTCCAGTTCTGCGTCACTGAAGTGGGCATCTTATGGAACAAGACTGACCCAAAGCTAAACTTACAGCAAAACTGGGGTGAAGAATGGATATGAAGGGACCCTGCTAAATACTAGGGAGTAAAGAACAAGGCTGAAGGTAGAGACTCAATATATCTAAAGTAACTGAACCAGTTAATATCTCAAGACAGCTGTCTTAGAGGAAAACACATGTTACAGAAAACATACTGGGATGTGTAAAGCTTGAAGATTTAAGGTCTATTCAGTGAGACTATTAATCAAAGGTATGATTTTCACAAAGGACCTTAGACAATAGATTTAAAACAAATGGTCGCTCAAGAAGCAAAGCTGTGGTCAGAGTCAAGAGGTGTCAGACATATACACAGGATTTCTGTCTCAGGATAAGACAAAAACGTAGCTTCCAAGGGTATTCAACCAAATCCTCAGCCATTTTATTTCAGAATTTTTGATAAGAAAATTCTTTCTTTGTCATCCAGAAATTATAAAGTAGCTCTAGCTTCCTTGCACTAAAGGAACCACTGCCTATTTCAAGGAATTCTGGCTGCTTCATTAGGTAAAGGCTCCTATCCTGCTCACTAAGAGACATGGGAAGCCTGCAAGACCCACTGGCCTATGGTATGTGGCCTCTAGTTGTACCCTGATTGCACTTTGTCACTCCAAACTCTCCAAGTTCAGTGCAGATGGGCCTTCTGCTGTCATGGTGCCTGGGCCTATAGCAATTCACTCCCATCTGTTGCCACTGCCTCTGGTCTTTCTTGCAAAGATGGGTTTCCCATGGTCTCATTTGCTGCAATGAAGAAGAGAAGCAAAGGCAACAGAGGTATGAATCCACGGGATCAAGAATAGCCCTGAAAGAGAATTAGAAAACATGAACCCATCCAAGCAGCCCTTTTGTGGTCTACAGTGTATATTGACTCAAATAAGTCATGTATGTCTAAATAAATGAATGAAAACTTATTTTCCAAAACACAAGCTCCTTGGAGGCCACTATTTTGTAAATAATAACTGAAATACATTTACGTTGGATTCTAAGAAAAGAACTTACTAATTATATAAACTCCCACTGTTCTTACATCCCTTTTCCCAAGACTTTACACTGACTCAAAGATGCTTCCATTCTCCCACTTTCCTAACTCAGCAGATGGCGTGCTTGGGAGTACCTGACTGAAACACAAAAAACGTACAAGGGAAATGTGATGCAGGTACAAGATACTCATCCTCCGAGCCTGTGCAAGACAGGAACTGTCTCAGTACAGATTAAACTGAAGGCCACGGCAGCTCTAGAGAAGCCCTGACCAGTACTCAATGAACTTGAAGCCATCACTTCTAAGACATTTTTTACTACAAGAATTGTTTAAAAAAAAATAAAATAGAAACCACACTCTTAATTAACATTCTGAATACAAGTTTGCCATTACACCTAAAAAATAACCTATGTAATTCTCAGCATCTATTTTTTTCTTTTAGAGGCCTGAAAAAAATTACATATGGAAAAAATAAATACTCAGCCAACATTCTCAGTTCCTTCTCTATATTGTGCCCTTCTTCCTTCCTGTGCTCTACTCAAAAGATACTCAAATATATATTGGGGAGAGATAGTCAACACCAAAGTGAAGTGAATGTGCTTCTAATCATTGTGGCAATACTGTCTTTTCTCTCTCACACTCTGAAGTAAGTAGGGCATGGGTAGATTTGATTTGAGAATCATGGTCTCCATGGATATAAATGTCTGTGGTTTTTGTTGTTGTTGTTGTTGTTGTTGTCTTTTTCTTTTTTTATCGGTACCAGGGATCGAACTCACCACTGCCTGCTTGCAAGGCAGATGCTTATGCCGCTGAGCTAAATCCCCAGCCCCAAATGTCTACTTTTTGTTGTCAAAATCAACGCCATAAGGTGTTAGGTGCAAGAGACTTGACCTTCACAAACCCTAGTGTTTGTGACATTTGAAATGCAGGACTGAAGGGCAGGAAGTAGTGAATCCCATTTGGCTTGTAAGCATTCCAAGAGGAAGTTAGATAGGTGAAATTTTTCAATAATTCCTTTCTTTTAATAATTCCTTCCTTTCAATAATTCTTTTCTTTGCAGAAAATGTTTCAGTATCAGTTTACCAGGGTAAACAAAGACCAAACCAAATCACTCGCTTGTCTTAATTTTATAACAATCTCTTTAACAGGTTGTTCCTGAATAAGAGGTATCTCCTGTTTATTTAATTGGTCACTTATTTTCAGTTTGAGAATTTGGTGGAGCAAATATGCTTTTATCTCCGAAAAAAAATGAGATCTTTGGTGGGGAGAGAGCTTTTTAATATTTAATTTATAAGTTGTATATCTACACACTCTTCAATAAAGGCTGCCCTAGTTGTAACGCACTGAGAATTCCCATTTCTTCTTTGGTTATCTGAAGCTAATTAGATCTGGTGGATTTTATAGAAATAGTCAATATGTTTCTATAGTAGACCACAAAGAATCAGACCCCTATGCAATTAGCCAGTACAATTAATCTAGTACAGAGATACCTTAATTAAAACAAAATACATTCTATAGGAGATATGCTCTCATAGATGACTGGTGTTTCAAATACTTTGATACGTTAAATGTGTTTATTCAAAGTACAGTCTTTATGGAACTTTTCACTGATCAAATACAGTTGGGTATTTGATGCATTTACCTTGAAAGCTTTCTTAGGTGAAAAATGTTGGTAGAGTATTATACATCTTAGTTTATTAACATCTGGGTATAAATATATTTCAAACACCAAAAGAACACAAAGAGTATGCTTCTCTTTCATAGACTTCTCTTCCTCCCCCAGTGATTTGTTCAATCTTCCAAGACCAGTCAGCAGACAAAGAGATCAGCATGAAGTGTGCACCAGGAGTTTCCCCCTCCAGGCTTCTGCAGTATGGGAAGAAACCTCATGCATCCAGGACCCTGTGAAAGAAGCATCTACTCTTCTTCATTCAGTGTGAGAGGAACTCAGCCACTAGTATGTGATCATTGAAGATTCTGAATCTCACCACCTAAACCAGCCTTCAAAAGTGCACACGAGGAAGAGAACTAGGGACAGAACATGGGCTAACAAAGCTGGCTCAGCCCTGCCCTGTTCTGTTTACAAGTGCCAACCAACTCACCTCCCCAGCCCTCACACTGCCCCTCTCAATCCACAACCTTCTTTCCTGTCTTCATAGTCAGCCACAGTCTGTCAGAGAAGAACAGAACAAGATGCAAGCTGATTCCTGACAATCCTCAGACCAAACTGCTCTTGATAGCGGTCAAGAGATCACAACTGGGAGTAAAGCCAATCCTCAGGAAAAGAGCTGTGTACCTGGGTAAGGATGGAAAGAGGGTGGCACATCCCCACCCTCTACTGTATCAAAACTGCCTCTGTCAGAGACCACGAGTACCAACGTACCAGGTTGTGTCAGTTGGAAAAGGTGCCAAGAGATACTGTGCACCATTGCAAGCGGCTCCTGGGTTCCTCGCTTGCATTTTAAAACACAGTAAAAAACAACTCAGGCTGTTCTGTTTCCTCCTGTCTGTCTACAGCCACGTGACGCAAAGCTTTCCGCTAAGCACAGGGCTCCTTAGCGCTTGCTTTCCAAGAGCTATTATTTGCGAAGTTAATGTTGGAGCTAACAGAACTTCTGCGAGGAAAACAAGCTCACTTATTTCATATTAAACCATCAGTTAAAAAAATGAAGATATCGTTACATTCAAAATATAGAAAGCCAATAGCTGAAATCATTGAGTAGTAAAATTTCTTTTCTACATATAACCTCGTAAGTGTAAAGTGTATTAGAATGATGCTTTGACTATATTTGACTCCTGTTAGTTTAAGGGCTTCTCACTCAGGTAAGGCTTAGGAGAGTATCAACCAATGATCAAGGTACTGTGAAGTTTCACAGCCGCTCTCCCTATTTTGACTAAGACAGATTCTACACTTGGTGACAGGTGTCTTTTGTTTTGTATGGCAGCACGGAACCGTTTACAACACACAAACAGTCTGGAAGATGCTAGTATATACAGAAAGATGAACATCAGTAATGTTGTTTTCCACAAAACCCACTCTGGATGAGAACTTTCACTTTGTGGCAAAAAAAAAAAAAAAAAAAAAAAAAAAAAAGCATCATCCATGTCAGGTTGTAGTTTACATCATTAGAAACTGAAACCATTACATGAGATATGGAAGAATCTTTAGAAATACTCCCTTTCCATTCAGTGAAGGCCAGAGTTAAAACTTAAAATCCTCTTAATCGTTATCATCACCACTGTCATCATCAAAAACATGGCCTCAATTTACTTTACAGTCAAGTTTACAAATTGTTCCCTTAAAACAGCATGCCCCAAACAAAACCTTTTGAGTTTGGAATGTAGCGCTGCCTCAGGTTTCCCACAGAAGCCCCTAAGGATCACAAGAAGCTCTCTTTAAAAAACAAAAAGTTCCAGTTGGGTGAAACTGTTTCTTCACTGAGCTCCTAGAACTGATTTTCAGATATACAAGAGGATAGGAAACAGATAACTTTGTTTTTGTCTTTTTACATGTCCATATTTTTTTTTAATGCAGCTATGATGTTTCTGCCAAAGATAATGATAATAGGGTAGACAGAGCGGTGACCACCAGAACCAGCAGTGGGCTCAGACCGCAGCGTGGAAGAGCAGCCATGGATTTTGTGGTTATGTGGCTGGAAGCACCAGCGAGCTCATCCTTTTCAAAATTGCTCTGTAAGAAAAAGGTTTCATTACCATCCACTGCACATGTCCATTGTCTCCCAGCACCTTTTAAACACACCCTTTCTTTCTACTGTCCACTGGCTGATCGCTTGCCAGAGCTAACCCTAGATTTTACAACTGAGCCCTCAGATCCCTGACCTTTAGTTTTATGAGAAGGGGACTGAATTTGGGCAAGACCGGATACCATGCATAGACTGTCTAGCCCAGTGATTACTGTTTGTTCCTCCATAATGAATTGATAAAGCCCATTTTGGGAGAAAATATTTGAAGTTTTGTATCACTGCCCTTCTTCCCCTTTCTACAGTTCATCCTGTGCAGCAGGGAACCTCTCTCCCTCTAGGCAGCACTCCCTGGGGAGGGAGGCTCACTCTTGCCCTACCATGGAGGGAAGGCAGGAGAAACCATCTTGGCACGTGTACCCATTCAGTAGCAGTGTGCACAGCAATGTGCCACACTGGCATCAGAGGTAGAAAGAGCAGGCAGGAATCTAAGTTTTTGAGATGAGGAACAGAGAGGGTAGGGAGCTTGTGCAGCTCCTCAGTGGGGTAGCCCAATCGGGAACCCAGGCTTCAGGGTTCCCATATGGAAGGACCCCTCCATCTCATCACCATACCTGCACGGTCTAAGGCTGCATCTCCACCCAATGGAGGAGGACTGGCACCCAAAACAGAACTCCTTTCTCCTTATCTAAAAATTGAGGGGAACACTGGATCTACCCTATCTACCTCTGGAGATTCCTGCAGAGGTCAGAAGAATGGAGACGGGACACACAGAAAACAGTGACAGCACCATGCATCATCTCTGTGCCTGACAACGTGGACTGATTGCACTCAGTATCCCAGCATCAGAACGGCAGCCTTGGTGCTAGGGTTGGTTGTCAGATGATGATGCCAAGTACCAGATTAATTATAGCCCTGTAATCCAAACTCTGTACTTTGCTCCGAGGGCAGATGAACAGAGAGGGTAGTTTCTATTTTTTTCTGGACCTACATGCTTATTGCCTTTGAGCCTTATAATATCATCTCTTGCCCCCAAATCCAAAGGTTATCTCTAAAAATGCAGGGATATCCAGAAAGAAATGTCACTTACATCTGAAAGACAGAGCTGTGTGTTGTCTGACACATTAGATTTCAGCTTCTGTGCCTGAAAAGAGAAAAGAGAAAAAGGATAAAAAATAATAGGGAAGAATAATTACTGATGATTCATTAATCAATAGTCTAGGGCCGTGCCATCTAATAAATATGTGAGCCACATTTGTGAGCCCCATCTGTAATTTACAATATTCCAGTAGCCACCTAATAAAGAGATAACAGGTAAAGTTAATGTAAGAATGTATTTTATTTAACCCACTATATTACCATTTCAACACATAATCAATATGAAAAATTAACAGGATGCTTTACATTACTTTTTCATACTGCATCTTCAAAATTGGGTGTGTTTGACAAGCAGCATCCATTCAAACCTGCCTCATTTCCAGGCTAAATGGCCACCTAACATTAATGACTACTTCACGGCCAGCACACAGCACCAAGTCACCACAGAAAGAGTTGTGAAAAGGCCTGCCTTCCTTCCTTCCTACCTTCCTTCCTTCCTTCTTTCCTTCTTTTTTTCCTTCCTTCCTTCCTTCTTTCCTTCTTTTTTTCCTTCCTTCTTTTCTTTCTTCCATACTGGCGATTGAACCCAGGGAGCCCCTACCATCAAGCAACATTCCCATCCCTTTTTATTTTTGAGACAAGATCTCACTAAGTTGCGTAGGTTGGGCTCACACTTGAGATCCTCCTGCTTCAGCCTCTCAGTGCAGGCATTACAGGCATGCGTCTGCTTGCCTACTTCACTTGTATTTCTGTATGTTAATTTAGGGAAGTGCCTCTTGAAAATGTTGCAAGAAAAATATCCATGTATTAATAACATAGGAGAGGTCTTCTGGAAACTTGTCTCTCTGTTTATTAATTGCTCTCGTCAACAGACACTTCTGTGCTCCTAGTATTTTCTAGGGCTGGGCACAGGGTGGTAAAAGGAAAACCCACTCCCTGACTTACAGGGCGCAGTCACTACCTGGCTGGGGCTGCGGCACAGGGCAGGAACCCCTTCAGATGGGATTCCTCAAGGAATCTTACAGGACACTGCAGGTCCAAATCCAGCTATTTTAAGGCTGCTCAGGGGAAGCTGTGAAGAGGCTAGGCTGCAGAGGCTTTGAGGTCCCCAATTCCCCTCATCCAGACCGACTTCCCACTGGCCTTCTGCCTGAGAACTGAGTGGAAGGAAAGTGGTAATGAAAACATTTGTGACAACTACCCCCGTATACCAGGCAAAACAATTAGATGCCAAATAAGTTAAGAGACTTGTCAGAGACTCACAGTATTTTCTTCTAGAGTCAGGGTGCAACCAACTCTCTTCAACTTTTGAGTGAAGACGATGCTCTTCCCTGGCTTATGGTATTTCTCCCTGTCTCTACCCTCCTCAAATTCCACAAATGTAACAACTCTACCCATGATGATGCCCGTCTCTGAATCCCAGCAATAAATAACAGCTTTTGGCACCAACAGACAGCTCATTTGCCGATAAGGTGTGCTCTGGCTAAGCATCAAGCCTGAATCAAGGGGTATCTGGTCACGTGACACTGGCAGGTGCTGGCAGGCTGACTGTCTATAGCAAGACTTTCGCAACTCACTTAAGTCACGCTAGGTAGAAATGCTACTGTGTTCACCCAAGGAGTAATTTATTGACCATAATGCCACTTGGAAAGCATCATAATCTTTGCCTATATTTGCATATGCCAGCTGTGAATATGAAATAGAAACCTTTAAACAGGCTTCAAGAATAAGACACTATGAAGCATCCCAGGGCTGTTCAAAGGTCACTAAATGTTATGTATAAGAATATCGGAGGGGAAATTGGGAGAGGAATTACACCTCACTCAGAAGCTTAGTTTTAACATATATTAATATCAAATCTGGTCCATTATATTGTTCATTCAGAACATGTGTAGAATTTAACATTTTTATTCCCATTCAAGATTGGATTTGTGCCCAGACACCAAAATGACCCTAAAATATCTCATTCTGCTTTCTTTTCTAGACCATAATCTGCAAAAGATGGAAACCTTTTCTAAGTGCTTTTGCATAAGTAGCATGTTCACTAAATTGCACAGAGAAGGCAGCATGACCTCAGATGGAGCCACACTGTCCTTTCAAGTTGTTCCTGTGCCCACAGTCATGGTTAAGTGGCTCCCTGGCGTCCTGGGCCACAGCGCCCTCTGAGAGGACTTAGGTGGTCACAGCTCCTCCCACTTCACTCTGTAGGAGCAGGGCCAGTGGACAGTGATTTCCTCCTGATGGACACAATCTATAACTCTCGCCAGCTATATTTTTCTGTCACTTCAAGAACTTGAGGCAGCACCAGGAGAATGTCCTCTTTATGGACTGATTGCAAAGGGCCCTTCAGCAGAGGACCAGAAATGCCACTCTCTTCACAGATGCTCGTGAGCAGTTCAGTCTGCATAGGCAGGTCTCTGTACATCATTAGTCCCTAGCAGCTTCCCACTGCATGCAGCATTCTCGAACCTTCAAGCATGTGCCCAGGTCTAATTTCCTACTTCACTCTTTCCTTCTGGGAGTGGCTGCAATGACTGTCCAGCCATATAGAAAAATGCATCTGGACCAGCTCCTAATCTGTGAAGTGGGGCTGTGTTCCCCTAGAACAGTCATTCCACTGACTCTAACAGTCAACATTTGACATTGTCTCCCTGCAGTGTCAGTGGCTTGACCATGGCGGGAGGCAGAAGCCCCCGGCTTACTTGGACGGGGCAGAGAGGGGGGACACACTGGCTGGCAGAATGGCAGAGATGCCTAGCACAGGTGAGAATGTGCAGTGAACAGAGTGGCCTTGGGGCCACCTGAACACAAAAGGGAACATCATAAGGTCGGTGTACCTAGGAAGGTGAAAGCAAAATATTATAGGAGATTGGAGTGGCAGGGGGCACCTAAGTAAAAGAATCAAAGGACTGCACATAGATGTGAGATCTTTTAAAATCCCTTACCAAACACGACGCAGTCCAGAGTAACTGCTGCCTGGACCACCCAGTGCTCCTGGGTGTGCATGGGCTACAGGTGAAGGGGCAGCCTGGGCTTAGAGCTGTGTACTTCTGACCGGCAGCATGCTTGGGAATGTCACATGTAGCATGAACCCCTGGTCACCATGCCTTAGAAACCTGGTTCTTCAGATTCAGTCTATTTCAGAAAACCTGAGTTTTAAAGCCTACTTCAAAGCCCCACAAAACCTGTTATTTCCACATTTTAAAGGCTTTTATCCTGACAGTCTGAAAACATCATCAAGACTCCTACCTCGCTTGTCAGGTATAGTAAATGCAAACAGATGAAATTACAGGACATCTTTCCTTCAACTACTGAAGAGGGTATCTACATACTTGAAATGTTGTCTCATTTGCTGAAAATTAGGATGGTTTCAGGACAATTAAAATGAAAAGAAACTTATGTGACTTCGTAAAGAGTACCATAAGTTAGAAAACAGAAAAGCAGCTTTCATCACTGAGTTATAAGGCAGTGAAGCCCACAGTATATTAACAGATATACTGGCACAAGGAACAGGGTCCTTTCTGTGAGCCCCGCTACCCTGCAGATGCTGGGAGATGCAGGGACACAACATAGAGTCTCGCCAGTCCTACCTATCTAGACAGCTTACAATTTGTAGTTTTTTAAAAAGCAAAATGTCTTTTTTGAAAAAAGGGAACACGTTTTGTTTTTCTAAGAGTCAACTTGAACCACTATTGTAGTATACTGAGAAGATGAACTGTTCAATCTCTTTTATGAAGGAGTGTTTCTGAGCTGCTAATTTACAGTTTTGTGGTTTGAAGGACAATGCCTGATTCTGCAGTGGGGAAACATCACCACTAAGACAGAGGACCTTGAAGCCCGCGTTTTGAGAATAGAAAACTACAAAGACCTCTAGGGAAGACTATCCCCACAGAAGCCTTCCCCACATTCTTTAAAGCCCCACATTTTGTTTTTAGGCTCTTCATAGTCTTGGCCCTCCAGCAGCTGTTGCTCTTCTGCTATAAAATTGTCACTGGTAATAATCCACAAGCCCAGGCATGTCACATAATAGAATTTCCAGGGCCCTGTAATTGTGAGACCAGACCCCTCCAGTCGCTGGCACCAGAGGGTTAATAAATGCATTAGATGCTGTTAACCTCTGTTACCTGGAGTCAGAGTGGAGCCTCTCCTGCTTTTTACCCGAGTGATTAGCACGTGGAAAGCCAGTCATGGTGCCAACGGCATCCTTGCCCAGAACACACAGGCACACATGTAATTTATGGCCCACAGTCAGGTCCCCACCAGGTTCTGCCTACAGTGGGCTCTCTGGAGCCTCGGGTATGGGTCAGGCTTCTGAGCAGCAAGCTTCCTCTGTTTATGGAATTGGAAAGTTAAAAGCACACCGACTCAGAGCCTGGCCTTTGCTGCCCCAGGACTCCATTTCTGTAGAGAAGCCAGTGTTTAATCTTGGGTTTTTAGGCAGCTGTCAGCCAGCAGGGCATAGAACATTTTTCTGCTCTTCTCCCTGCAAAAGAAAAGCTGTTTGCTGCCCTACCTCCAGAAAATAAAACCAAAGGAAACTGTACAATCCAATAGCAGCAGACTGTCCAGACTACAGCCAAATAGTCATAATTAATGATGCTCTGGTTCTTTTCTCCCTTGCCTTACTGATTAGAGAGATTTGCTATATTAGGAACCTGTTTGCTTAATGACAGAATACAAGCAATAAACAGAGAAATACACAGACTGTAAAATGCAATCAACTTTGCTCTCTAGCACTCACTAAATACCACGCTGCATCTATCACACTTGTCAATACCAGTTTATTAGCACGAGTCTCTTCTACAGCATAAATCAGACTTTTTCAAGGGGAAACCATTGCATGAGTTCTTTAGGAAACAGTTTGGAGTCAGAAGTCCAGAATCTGAAACCATTTTTCACTTTAAATGTGCATCTTATGTTTCCTCATAAGATAAAACAGAGAAGGAAGGGTATGTATCCAATCTCGAGGGATAACGAGCAGAGGAACTGGCTGCAGACTTTGCATTTTTCACACTGAATTAGAAATAGACTCTCCTGATTACAGAT